AGAGAGAGAGAGAGAGAGAGAGAGAGAGAGAGAGAGGGTTTCGGCAAATGTGTCAAATAATGGGATACTAGGTTGATGGATCTTTCTTTGGTTAAGGATTTTGATATTAAGCGAATAGGTGTGGCTATCTGGGAGAGCTGTCCTACAAATCATTGAGCTCAACAAAAAATGCCTTCCATGAACCTTTGTTTTTTTTTTTTGGGGTAAATCACTGGGGAACGTTCATTTCTAAAGGATGCACAAAGGGATTTTCATTTAGTATCTTAGCAACAAACTATGTGCCATGACGTCCTATTGAAGTGACATGGAGCGAATTTTCGTTAAATATCACTAAGTGTAAAAAACAAATATGCTGTATACAACACGTACACAGTTTGTTGAAACCCTTTCAATAAATTTAAAACTGTGCCACTGTTCTAGTAGTTAAAATACAAAGTGGGTTGAGTAAGGAGCGGCAGTAATTATTTTCAAGACTAGTAACAAGATTCGAGACTATGCTTGAAGTTCTATAAAGAGTGTAGATGAAAGGATCACTAATAACCTTGCAATCCGATCCTTTAAAGATAAAACCACTCTCCAGAATTGAATCAGATAACTTAAGTTTAGATAATGCAGAATTCATGAATTGAAATGCATAAATTATAAAAAGAACCTGATAAGCAAAGATTAGGTACACATGAGAAAGACAGTAAATTATTTTATGAGAATATTTTTTAAAGATAATAATGTCGTCAGCAAATGCTTCATTGATTTTCCATTTTCTATATATTTTTCCATGCTATTTGGCAAAGAAGAAAGGATACGGTCCAAGGAAGTCCATATCTTCACCCAGCAACTCCAGAAGCTCTTGTGTTAGGGGTTTCATGGGTTTCAAGCTCTTTGTACTGGAATCAAATCTGCAATAGCAGATGCAGAATGTCCAGAGAGTTCCACAAAAAAAAAAGGCAATATAAACATGTGAAACAGCAATACAACAATAGCAAGCGTAATAAAATTAATAGTAATAACAATAATAACAATAACAATAATAATAATAATAATAATAATAATAATAATAATAATAATAATAATAATAATAATAATAATAATAATAATAATAATAATAATAATAATAATAATAATAATAATAATAATAATAATAATAATAATAATAATAATAATAATAATAATAATAATAATAATAATAAT